AACCCCTGATGAAGAGTCCCTTTCTGGTGTCCTTGTAGGCCCCCTCCAGCATCTGATGGGAACCTTCAAGGATGCTGGAGAACGGACTCTTCATCAGGCACTGTAGTGATAGGACAGGGGGAACGGGTTTAAACTTAAATAAGGAAGATTTAGGTTGGATATAAGGCAGAAGCTCTTCCCTGTGTGGGTGCTGAGGCGCTGGCACAGGGTGCCCAGAGAAGCTGTGGCTGCCCCATCCCTGGCAGTGTTCAAGGCCAGGTTGGACACAGGGGCTTAGAGCAAGCTGCTCCAGTGGAAGGGGTCCCTGGATGGCAGGGGTTGGAGCTGGAGGAGCTTTAAGGTCCCTTCTAACCTCTGTGATTCTATGGAGCTGGCTTTGTGTGAGCAGGCAGAGTTCAGGGAGTTTGCAGGGCTCCTGTGGGGAAAAGGGGATCATTGGCTAAAATGCAGGAAGTGAGAGACTGGAAATCATGGAACAAACATGGGATCATGTTTGTTCAGTATTTGGGGTAGGAGAATGGTTATGGGAAATAGCTTGCCACCATCTCACTCGGTATTCTGTTTTTTATTGTAGGGTTTGTAACATCTGCAACCAGAAGCTTGACTGTCCTGAAAACATCTCTTAATAAAATCAGAAAAGACAGTGTTTGTGGAGGTCCTTTCTTTGTTTCCCAAGATGTATTCCAGGAAAGCCTTGCTCCACTTTTGGTATGGAAGGAATTCTCTTGCATTTCTTCCGGGTCGTGTTACCCTTTTGGAGTGAACTTAGGAGACCCTGATCTAAAAGTGGGGACAAAATGCTGATGTTTGGTAGAGCTGGAGCCAGCAGGCTGGTTATTAAGAGGGTCATGGATAACATGAGCTAGAGTAGTGCTGGTACCTCTTCACTTCCATGCCAGTCCCTTACTCCGAGGTTTCCAGAAGAGGGAGCTTTTTATCAGTGTCCAAAGCAGTCATTGTAGTTTACACCTTTGTGGCTTCAACTGAAAGTGTAAACTGAAGTGTTACTGTATTCTCCTGAATGCTTTTTGCACCTCTGTACATCCATTTATTTCCCTTGGCACTGAAAGGATGTTCAGTGTGTGACTTTGAGGCCTATAGACCACACAGGAACATTAGAGCTCCTGTTAGGGTCAAGTAACCTTTGCCTGGTAGAGATGGGGAGTGGACAAACTCCTGAGTAGGTGTTCTTACACAATAGCTGGGGAGAAGAAGTAAGTGTACACTCTTGAGTTTCAAACCTGTCCTAAGCTTTGAGATGGAAAGAGATTGAAGCAGTTGGGGAAACACTTGTCGTCCTTTGAGGCTTGAGCAGACAGTCTGTTACTTCTCACTGTATTAATAACTGGCTTTAATTAGCTGTAGGATGACATCGTTAAGCTGATAAGAGATGACAAGGCTACCTAAGCTGTTGAAATGTATAGTCTGTATGCAGGGATGTGTTTCCACCTCTGTTCTATTGCTGTATGAATGTAGTTGTTCCTGTCTGTTGTGGTGAAGCTAAAGCCTGTAGGTTAAAGTGGTGAGACTGAGCATTTGGTTAAGTTTCAGGCAGGATTCTGGTTCTGTCAGCACCTTTCCCACTGTGTTTCTCAAACTCCAGTGCAGTAATGGGAAGAGCCTGTTACACACACCCTTAGAGATCACGTTGTGTGCAAGATCAAGACTTTCCCCATTTAAGAAACTCAGAACCTATTTGCTGCATTAAAACCTACAAATCTGCAAACTGCATTGCTTGGGAATGGCTTTGACAGCCAGATGGCCGTTTTGGGGAGGCTTCTGTGCAGGCAACTGGAATTCCAAAGCGACAGTGTCAGGAAATGCTGTCTGGCAGCAAGTGTGGGTATGTGAGCCGCAGCCTGCCTGTTCCCAGCTTCTCTGGCAGGTCTCCTGTCAAACAGTTGTGCTTCCTCAGGGTGTAGGAGAAAGTGATTGCAGGTTTCTGTGCACATCTTTCCATGGAAAGCTTTTAGAAGAAGTTACTCTTAAGTGTTAAGAGTAAGCAATGCCAACATCAAATTTTGACTTTCTGAATAGGAACTTGGATTTGGAAAGCAGTTCCAAAAGGCAAGATGACAGACCAGTTTTGTCACACTATAGGAGCAGGAAATGCATGAAAGCTGGAAGCAATAGAAGAGTGCAAGGATTTGCATGTTGTGTCTAAATTCTAGTACATCCCAATATGTGAGATGATCATCAGCTAGGGGTTTCTCCTGCAGTCCTCCAGTGAGGGCTGGCTCCTGGAGAGTATGAGACTCCAACTTGGTCTCATGGTGCTGATCACTGGTAGCATCAAGATGTTCATTTGCTTGTAAGACCAAGAGATGTGCAAGTAGTGAGCTTAAGAGTTAGGATTGTGTACTTCTTTTCTTACTAGATCAGTCATGTGAGAAGTTGAGGACATCAAGGATTTATTGCTCTGGTGAGATTTCCCTCTGGAGTCCTGTGTCCAGCTCTGGGGCAGCAATACAAGAGGAATGTGGAGCTGCTGGAGTGAGGCCAGAGGAGGCCATGGAGATGCTGCAAGGGCTGGAGCAGCTCTGCTCTGGAGCCAGGCTGAGAGAGCTGGGCTGGGGCAGCCTGGAGAAGAGAAGGCTCCTGAAGGGGAGACCTTAGAGCAGCTCCAGTGCCTAAAGGGGCTGCAGGAAAGCTGGAGAGGGGCTTGGGACAAGGGCCTGTAGGGACAGGCCAAGGGGAATGGCTTGAACCTGCCCGAGGGGAGACTGAGCTGAGCTCTTAGGCAGAAGCTCTTCCCTGTGAGGGTGCTGAGGCGCTGGCACAGGATGGCCAGAGAAGCTGTGGCTGCCCCATCCCTGGCAGTGCTCAAGGCCAGGTTGGACACAGGGGCTTGGAGCAAGCTGCTCCAGTGGAAGGGGTCCCTGCCTGTGGCAGGGGTTGGAAATGGGGGACTTTAAGCTCCCTTCAACCCAAACCAGTCTGAGATTTTAAGAAAAGCTGACCTAATACAATTCCGTTGATCGACATGTTGTGTATTAAGTGTTATTTTTTTGTCCCTAATCACTAGATTAAGCCAAGTGACTTGGATTTAAGGATGGCAAAGAGCCTTTCCAAGCCTTTTTTAGGAGTATTTTGTCTCCATCCAAACTGTTCAAGTGACCGAGGCTGCCAGGGCTTCATTGAAAAAGTTTTATTGCAAAATTAGACAACTGTCACTGTGTGGTACAAGAGACAACAAAAGCCATCAGACGCCTGCATCCACATGATGCACATTATTCACAACGTCCCACAGTGTGTTCCTGCCTTTCCCACCCCTTTACCCCCCACCCCAATCCTCCAGCGTGTGGGTTTCAGTGCGCTGCTTCTCACCAGGTAACATCTACTGTACACCCTGGGCTTCAGGCTTGCTGTGCATTTGGGTATATCCTTGTGAACTGCTTCCTACCTCCCAAAAAAGCACCTGGGAATATGAGCTGGGAAGGGGCTAAAGGACAAGAATCTCCCATTCTGGCTGGCTTGGATAAGGAATTAAAGCAGATAAGCTTGTGTAAGCTTGCAAACCTCGAGCATGCGTGGCCAAGTACAACCTGGGGCATAAGCTGCTGAATTTTTGCTTGTAGGAAGCACCTAATAAGAGAGTTGCTGGTTTTAACTTAATAAATAAGTGGAAATAGTCCTGTTTATGGTCTGAGAAAGTGCAGTATTGGGCTTCTGTGAGGAACCTGACAGCAAGCACATGGGCAGGGAAATAAAAGGGAGAGAAAAGCAATGCAGTTTTGCTCCTTGCTGGGTTTGAGTTAACTGGCACTTGGACTGTAATGGATTTCTCCCAGTCATCTTATCATGGTTTGTTTGCAGTGTCTCTCAGTGCATAGCAACTTCATTGCTCATGGGATTATATCACTTACTTCCTTAAGTATTAACCTGATATCCCTTAGAAGATAGGAATAGCCTCCGAGTCTAGGCTGGAGTAGGCTGTGAAACATGCTCTTTATCAAACATAAATAAGAGTATAACTATGAATACATTTGGTTTTCAGCATGCTGTTACCCAGGACAGCCATCAGGGAGCTAAAGCATCATGCAGAGGAGCTTCAGAAAAGTGTCAGGCAATGGCAACTCTAAAAGCTTTGTATTTAAGAACCTCCTCCAATCCCTTGGCCTGCAATAGGAGCTGACAGCCACCAGCCCTGCTTTAACTGGGACCACCTTTGCAGTGGTAACTCTGATGCAGAAGCACCAAGAGGAGTGGAGTTCCTCAGTTTGCATGGTACAGGATGTTCAATTCCAGATGCTAGCCCAAGACCCCCCTGGTGATCCCCAGGGGTGTGCAGCAGAGCCATTTCTGTCATGTAGAGTGCTGAAGGGACCTAGCTTTGCTCTTAGGGGTATCAGCTGGCACCAAAGCCACTTCTCTGTGAAGTGTTGAGCAAAGCTCTGCTTGGCTTTGCAGTGAGTGTGCTAGCTGTGGAGCTGATAGCTTACTGCAGATGGAGTCATCCAGAGCAGGGTTAGGCAGGACAGAAAGGCACAACTCCATGCAGTCTCCATTCTTACATGCTGTCAGGCCCTGCTCACCTCCCAGGACCACAGAAGAGGACCTTAGAATTGCCCCTTTGTGCTCTGTTATATACCACTGAGAATAGAAGAGGGAAACAAGGAACAACTGCAGAGCAACCTGAGCAGCTTTGGTGTGGTGCCACATAGCAAAGGAGGAGAAAAGCAAGCAACAGAGCTCAATGTGCAGAAGCATTTGAGATGGAAGCATGAAGGGCTTGTGCCTTTGTAGAGCTGGTGGTAGCAGCAAGGTACTTAGCAGGAGGCCTAACTAATGCAAGGAGGAGGTAGGCATCAGCCTGAGCATCGCAGCTGGGATGGTGCATGCCAGTTCCTTTCTGCTCCTGGTGACCCTCTTGTGCCAGGCTCCTCTCTGGAGGTGGGTTTGTGCAATAGGTATTTTGGGGTGAGGTAAAGTGTATGCTGGTTTCTCATCACAATGCACCCTGGTCTGAATAGCACCCATAGTTCGAGAAGGATACAAAATAGTGTTTCCCCTTTTTTGAAATCCCCCCACTAAAAAACACACAAACCAAAGCTCTTGGGGATAAACCCAACCCAACCCAACTACAACTCATCACGCATCTTGTCTCCTTTGGGCCTCACGAGCCTGCCAATGAAGAGGATGGAGTTGGTTTTACTGTCCTTGATCATGAAGATGAAGGGGTGGTCAGCATAGAAGAGCTTGGGGTTCCTCATCTCCTCTCGGCCATAGATGTCAGCATCGTATGGGTTCCCTTCCGTGTCCCATTCCAGAGCAGCAGCATGGAAGACATTGGACAGGTAAAGATCTTTCTTGCCAGAGATCTTTGATAAGTCAGCCTTGGTTTTGTCAATGGCTTCTGTCAGACCCAGATCAGCCAAGTGTTTCTAGGAAAAGAGGTCAGAGATGACACAGTGCAACCCATTCCAGCCATGGTTACCCCAGCCCCCAGGTGACAGGCATACAGAGCCCATCATCCCATTATCTTCTCTCCCAACCCAAAGAACTCTCAAGTCCCAACTATTTTCTTTAAGGACCTCCTTTTACCTGAAGGTCGTGGCTGACTTCCAGGACAACTTTAGGCAGTGAGATGGCCACTGATCTCTTCTTCATCTTGCCAGCCCAGGTCTTCAGCTGCTCCCTGTTCAGCAGCTTCTCAACCCTCTCCAGAGGCTCCACATGGTTGGGCATGATGAAGATCATGCTGGAGAGCTTGTGAGCCAGTGGCATCTCCACCACCTGGAGCTTCTCTGTCTCATCATCATAGTAATTGTAGAGACCTTGAAATCAGAAGCAGGAAATGGTGAGATGAGGAGCAGAAGCAAAGCTCCGCACAACCTTGGTGTGAATTCACCCTGGATCGGTAGGGAAGCGAGCGTGAACACTGTTTTGGGAACTGGTCCACTGTTATTTGAGTTGGCAACAACTCCAAACTGCATCTCATTTGTGTGCTGAGCTGGGATTTACTCCTAACAGCCAAGCACCCAATAGTAAACATGGATTATCTCTGCCCACAGAGACACTGAGTCAGCAGAACAAGCACATCCAGTTTTGTCCTCTCACACTTACTACCCATAAGGAAAACAACACTGGAAGCAGTTGGTGGAAAACCAAGTAACAGAGCAGAAACCTTAACTCCTGTTGGTCTTGACACAGGGATGGAGGTCTGCAACTCACACTACCCATAAGGAAAACAGCATTGGAAGCAGTTGGTGGAAAACCAAGTAACAGAACAGAAACCTTAACTCCTGTTGGTCTTGACACAGGGATGGAGGTCTGCAACTCACCTGTACGGTGCATCATGGGGACCCCAACGGTGTAGGAACGGGACACCATGAAGCCACGGTTGTCCACCATCTTATGATGGAACTTCTCATCCCAGTGAGCTACAGGAGGGAGAAATTCAGCGTGTAAGAACAGGGAATGGGTGGTAGTTGCATGCACAGTCCCTAACTACTTGCTCTGAAAGAGAACATGCCACCAGTGCATGCAGGACTTGGGCTGCTCTCTGTTGCCTTAGGTTCTGGGTCACTTAGATCAGGAATAGAAGGTAGAACTCACGCTTGAAGAACATGGCATTGACAATGAGGGCTCCATCAGTCTTCTCCACATCCTTGGTGACCTCTGGGAGCTTCCCATCCGTGGTCTGGGCTGCCCACTCATTAATGGATTTCAGGGCGCTCCTCTTGTCTCGGAAGTTGATCTTGGAGTGCTCGTAGTTGTAGTGTTTCTTGCTGTTCTTCACAAAGTCATCAGCAAAGGTGATGGAGGCCGGGCCATACAAGCGGTTCCCGATCTTCCAGGTGACATTCCGGGCTGTGCTGTTGCTCACCTCATTCAGGAGCTCGGATAACCCACTGTGGACATAGTCATCGTTGAGCTTGTCCGCACTGAGCACCGCCTTGGCTTGGGATGCAGTTGTGGCCTTGCCCCCAAGAGACACGAGGCCAAGGGAAGAGGCCACGACCACGGGGGACAGGAGGATGTTCTCCATGTCCTTGTCCTTCGCCATGGCATGGTAGAGGTTGAAGGCCAGAGTGGTGCTGCGGTCAGCCAGTGTTGTTGCCTTGTCGCTCAGCTTCCTGTCCTCCGAGGGCACGGCAGCAGCGAGGCCGCAGAGAGCAAGGACCAGGATAATCCACATGGCTTCAGCAGCACCCGACGCCTCTGAGGACCTGCTGGGCAAGAAGAGCTCCTGGTCAGCACAATTCAAGCCCTTCCTGAGCATTCAGAGGCTCTTCCAGTCCAACCCACAGTGATAGCCAGAGCATCTGCATCAACGCTTCACTTGGGGTGCAACCACCCCAAGTCCACACTGGGCTTTCCCCATAGCAACAGTTAACCTAAAAGAGTGCAGGCTGTGCCCTCGCATGCACAGCCCATGTGTTTTGAATGAAAGCTTCATTTTTAGGCAATCTGACTCTATTACTATATCTTCATGGGCAGTAAAGGATTTAAAGAGGGGCAAGGGAAAGGAAGGAACGGGTCTGATATGGTCTTGATAGGCCAAGGGGAATGGCTTGAACCTGCCAGAGGGGAGACTGAGCTGAGCTCTTAGGCAGAAGCTCTTCCCTATGAGGGTGCTGAGGCGCTGGCACAGGGTGCCCAGAGAAGCTGTGGCTGCCCCATCCGTGGCAGTGTTCAAGGCCAGGTTGGACACAGGGCTTGGAGCAAGCTGCTCCAGTGGAGGGGGTCCCTGCCGTGGCAGGGGTTGGAGCTGGAGGAGCTTTAAGCTCCCTTCAACCCAAACTAGTCTGGGATTGTCCCAACAGTAGCAAGTCAAACCTTTGTCCTGGTCAGAAGCTAGAATTGGGGTGTTTCTGCTGGCCAGGACCACACAGCACAGTGCGGCCCCTGAGGCCAGGGGCTACTGTGGTCAGTGTACAGCAGGGGTTCTCCTCTTTGGGGACCTGAGCTCGGTACCCAAAGTACTCAGCTTTCTAGACACTAGATGGAGCACATGAGCTTCCACCAAGCTAAGGCAGAGGGGGGCCTTGAGACGCTCCAACACTGTACGGTCAGCTCTGTCCCACTAAGTTTTGCCTGTACAGCTGCAAAGGAGGCACTGGGACAGCTGAATGGGGTGGACCCCTCCTTTCCCCCAGCAGAGCCCCATCTCTATACGTTCATGCATTAGGTTGATGCATCTTACCACAACACATGTGCTCCATCCCTGTGAGGGCTCAGAGCTACAGCTTCATAGAATCATAGAACTGTTTGTGTTGGAAGGGACCTTAAAGCTCCTCCAGCTCCAACCCCTGCCATGGGCAGGGACCCCTTCCACTGGAGCAGCTTGCTCCAAGCCCCTGTGTCCAACCTGGCCTTGAGCACTGCCAGGGATGGAGCATTCACAACATCCTTGGGAACCAGTTCTAGTGCCTTAAATCCAACCTGAACTTCCCCTGTTTCAGTCTGAACCCATCACCCCTTGTCCTATCGCTGCAGTCCCTGATGAAGAGTCCCTCTCCAGCATCCTTGCAGCCCCCTTCACACACTGGAAGCTGCTCTGAGGTCTCCACGCAGCTTCTCTTCTCCAGGCTCAACAGCCCCAATGTTCTCAGCCTGGCTCCATACAGGAGCCGCTCCAGCCCCTGAGCATCCTTGTGGCCTCCTCTGCACTTGCTCCAATGGGAGCTTCGATGATCTCCACAGTGACCAGTCCCAAATGCCATGTCCGAAAGCTCTCTGGAGCTCCCACCGCTTACCTCCAAGGCTGTAACGCATCCCCATTCCTTCCCTCCCTCCACCCTGCTCACAGCAAACCTTCCCCACAGCAGCTCCTGACGGGTTAAATCCCTCCTCCATTCCCAAAGGGAGCCTTTGGGTGACCTTCTCCTCCCACAGACTGCCTCCGACCCAAGGCTATGGTGAGCTCTCACTCCTTGCTCCTCTCCTCCCACCCTGCTCCAGCCTGCCTTCTGCATGCAGGGACACGAACGGGCTGTCCCGGGGCAGCTTCAGGGTTAACGGCAAGAGAGGAAGCGAAGGGCCCTCTGGGATTACATATGGAAGGAAACACGCAGGCAGCCTGAAGGAACCCGAGTGCGCAGTTGCACCAGGGACCCTTTGCCAGAGCAGGGATTATGTATCCTCAGAGATTCATATCCTAAACTCCTTTTAGGAGCAAGCCGTCTAGCGAAGGGAAGAGCCCTCCCGGCTACTGAAGAGCAGAGATTTGTGCAACAGGCTCAAAGCTGCACTTTTAAGGTGCAGAATAAGCACTTCAAGGTTTTTCTTTGGTCTTTTTTTCTTTCTAAGGATACCTTGGAACTGTTTCCTAATGAAGCCAACGTTTGCCTTTTTCATTCTGAAAGAGAACAGATACATGGAGTAGTTCCCATTCGGAATGGGCAGCCCACAGCGCTTCCATCCTCAGCTTAAGAAGGGTTCATTACTTCAGAGACCAGCCCGAAATGGGTGATGCAGTGCAGTGGCACCAAGAGGAATGCTGCCCATCCTTGGGTTATGGCTGGGATTAGCACTGGATCCATTACCCAGGCTGGAAATGGGGGGAATGCACAGCCGATAACACCCTCTGGAGTGCGTGCAGCCCAGCCCCCGGATGGGACGCCCTGTGCCAACGTGGCATTCCAAAGACCTCCTTAGGATGTCAGGGACTTGCTCTGCTGGTGGGATTCGGAGGGGGCATCGCCCATGGCAGCCACCCGGAGGCACAAACCCCTGCGAGGGCTGTGTTTCACCCATGCCCAGGATGGAGCAATGCGTGCAAGAGAGCAAAAGGCCATTCCCGTGTCAGCAGAGGGATGCGACACTTTAAGGCAGGCAAAGGCCAGCACTGGTCTTGCAGGGAGGCTGCAATGAGCTCTTATCATGTGCTGGGCTGGTGGCCAGGGTCCCGGAGGCTCCCAGGCTGAGCTGTAACCGGAGCCGGAGCCGTCCTCCAACCAGGAATGCTCTGGGACCCTTTGGACCAAGCCAGCGCTTCCTTCATCTCCTTCTTCACCTTTCAAAAGCTTCTCCAGGGTGCAGCCTCTGCAGCCCTCTCTAACCACATAAAGATGGTGATGGGGGGGTGTCTTTTAATGCCTTTTCACTAAATACACCCAGTTTGTAGGGCAGCCTGTCCCCTACCCCCCTAACTCCAATACAACCTACCCGCGATGCACCCCTATGCAATCACACCCCATACACACACAACCTCCCTGCCCCATGGGAGCAGACAGGACCCCAAAGTGACCCCATCCCGCTGCAATCACTGCTTGGCCACATCCCTGCCTGAGCATCACCCGTACCCCAGGGTACCCCCATTCTCTCACCTGCGGGCTGGGGCGCTGCCCTGCGCGGCTCCCTGTGCACCTCCGGGTCCCGCGGACTGGGGTATATAAGGGGTCGGGAAGAAACTTCTGGAAAGTTGGGAAAAGCCTCTTCAAAAGCGCTCCGGGAGGAAGGGGAGGATCGGATTGAGGACCCGGGCCAAGAGCCAATGGCGGGGAGCCGCGGCGAGGAGGGGGGGCTGCGGGACGCGCGGTCCTGCTGCCCGCCCGCCCGGGCGGAGCTGAACGGGGACGGGAGCGGCGTTCCTGAGATAAAGCCGTGTTTGTGCGGGGCTGTGGGCCCCGTTATCAGCATCTTGTTGTTGTTGCATCCGAGGGCTGGAGCAGCTCTGCTCTGGAGCCAGGCTGAGAGAGCTGGGCTGGGGCAGCCTGGAGAAGAGAAGGCTCCTGAAGGGGAGACCTTAGAGCAGCTCCAGTGCCTAAAGGGGCTGCAGGAAAGCTGGAGAGGGGCTTGGGACAAGGGCCTGTAGGGCCAGGCCAAGGGGAATGGCTTGAACCTGCCCGAGGGGAGACTGAGCTGAGCTCTTAGGCAGAAGCTCTTCCCTGTGAGGGTGCTGAGGCGCGGGCACAGGGTGCCCAGAGAAGCTGTGGCTGCCCCATCCCTGGCAGTGCTCAAGGCCAGGTTGGACACAGGGGCTTGGAGCAAGCTGCTCCAGTAGAAGGTGTCCCTGCCCATGGCCGGGGTTGGAGCTGGGTGAGCTTTAAGGTCCTTTCATTCCAAACCAGTCTGGGATTCTATGGACATCACCCTGCTCCCAGCACCTCCTGCAGGTGCCTGGTTGTTGGCACAGGAGGGGGGTGATCTGTGCCAGAGCAGTCACAGGCAGCAAATAACACTCCCACCTGATTCAAACCACATCTTCCCATCTCTCAGATGCTCCTGATTCAGTGATACCCTAGAGGACCTGCAGTCATCGAATCAGAATGGTTTGGGTTATAAGGTACCTTCAGAGCTCATCTAGTCCAACCCCTTGCAATGAGCAGGGACATCTTCAACTGGCTCAGGTTGCCCAGATGCTTTGCTGTGATCTGATATCCAAGTTACCAGCAGCTGGGGGCCTTCCTCATATTACTGTATCCCCAGAGGCTGCTTTTCCATCCCTCTCTCCATGTGCATTAACACCCACTTCTCCTTTTCCCCATCAGCTGTGCTGAGGGGTCAATGAGCATCTTCCCCACCACATCTTCCCTAATTCCACATTTTCCCCTGTGCTTCACGCATGCAATGAGCAGGTCACTTACTTACACTCTGTTCTCCACTGTATCATAACACAGTGGCACAGTCCTGCCTGGCAAATCAGGCAGTTTAGAAAGGCATTAGGGCAGCAAACCCAGCCCCAAAGTGATGCTGAAGGAGTTAAATGCTCATGCAGACTGCCTGGCTGAGAGCTTACAGCAAAGTATGTGCCATAGAGAGTTTCTGTGCTGAGTCACAAGTCCTGAGCACCACTCGCATTTAACCCTGGCACATTTTAAGCCAGCATGGGATATTTCTGATGGCAGTCTGGGATGCAGAGGTCATCTAGATCCTGCCCATTAGATAAGCACCATCCTCATTGATGGTTATGTTAGCAGGATGCTGCAGCATTGTGTTTGCCTGATGTTTATGTCTTCCCTTGCTTCTAATCACCATGTAATCTCATTCACCCTTCCTCATACTTTGGCTCTCCAAGTTTCCCCACTTGCCTTGGAAGACAGGTACCAGCAGGTTACTACCTCTTGTTGCTATATAGAAACCAGCACCTGGCTTGGGATATTCTGTCCTTAAACCTGGGTTCTTGTCTTGTGAGCACCTTCCATCAGGATCATCTCATCTCTCCACTCTCCATTCTCCCACACAACTCCAGTCCACTCATTCTAGAAGATGGCATCAAAAAGGGACATCTTCCTCCTGCCTGAACCATTCAGATGATGCCAGCTGAGTAGAGACTCCATCAAGGAGAGGCCTCTAACCAGAGTTTTCCACCAGCTGCAAGACACCAGCTCCCCAGCACCCAAACAGCAGCACAGAGTGTGTGCTTGTGTGTGTGTTCCTGTGCTGGTTTCACTCACAGCACGGTTTGCAGCACTGAGACCTTGATAACAGCAGGAGCAGATAACGGGAGGTTTGTTCTGCTCACTGGGTGTTCCATCCTGGCTGGGAGAAGGATTATCCCATCCAACCATTCCCCACAGCCCCGCATCCAGCTCTGGGGCAGGAGCACAGGAGGGATGTGGAGCTGTTGGGGTGAGTCCAGAGGAGGCCATGGAGATGCTGTGAGGGTCCTGAAGGGGAGACCTTAGAGCAGCTCCAAAGGGGCTTCAGGAAAGCAGGAGAGGGGTCTGGGACAAGGGCCTGTAGGGCCAGGACAATGGGAATGTTTCCAGCTGGCATCTTCCCTGGGCATTCTGCATTCAGGCAGGCACCTGATGCTGCAGTCTTTAATGGTAATGTGCCTGATGGCCTCAGAACCCCGATGTTCAGGGATTTGCTTCCATCTGGGAGTGATTCAGTGCGAAGGAGAGGTTAAAGTACCTTAAGCATCGTATTTTGTGTGTATTTGCAGCACTTTCCCATCTTTATATGTACATAAATGATCAGAACGTGGTCTCAGGGGTTTAACAGCACATTTGGTGCTTTATTACTACATTGCCACAGTATAAAAGTGAATTTGCTGATGGCGAGCAGTCAATACCCGCTGACATCTCACTGTTGTGGACCAGAGCTGAGGAATGAGAAAAGCTCCTTTAAATTCCAGCCTCACTGGTTTCCATTGCCAAGCTCTGCCTTGCTCCACCTTCAAACCCTTCCCTGTAACTACTTCCCATGTAAGATTCCTTTCTCTTCCTATCAATGATATAAACTCTTAAGCTTTCACTCTCCATGTCTTTCGATGCCTCCCAGCACCAAACCCCTTTGGCACAGGGCTCTGTGCTTCAGTCCTTTAAATGGCTCCATCTCAAACCCAGGAATTTGGAGTTGGATAAAAATAGTTCTTTGTGATTAAGCATTAGGATACTGCAGCTTTTGGCCTGATTTTTGAGTGTATATTCCCATTTCTTCCCTTCTATCACCAAACACCCCCCAGGGAACTCAATCCTCAGTGCATTGCTGCAGGTCAGCTGCAGTAAATCCACACTGATTTCGATGCAGGAAATGAGTGAATCCCCCCCAAACCCATCAGCAAACAGCTTCATCCGGACCGTAAAGATCTTTTTCCAGGGTAAAAGTGCTGGGAATGGGGCTGCTCTGCATTGGGGGGGGAGAGCTTAGCTGCTCCCGAGTGACTTGAAGTGCAATAGGGCTTTGCAGTTGCTCCCTGCCCCCACAGTGCCACGTCGGAGATGCTCCAGCAATGGGATGCGGGAAGAGGACCGGGAAGGGGGAGCGATGCTGGGAGTTGCCTCCTTCCGTCTGCACTGCTCCTGTAATGAGAGGGCCCGGCTGCCAAAAGACACATCCACTGCTCCAGCCCGGCTCCTCCCCTCAGCCGCCCACACTCGTGCATAGGGAAAGACTTGGATTTCTTTTGTTGGGAGCTATTTCCAGCGTGGTTTTGCTCCCTGGGGAGCTTTTGGGTTCGGGGGGGGGGAGTAGATCTATTGAGTTATAACGTACTTTGATTTAAATCCCCCCCAAACGTCGTTGGATGGGGCTTGGAGCAAGCTGCTCCAGTGGAGGGGGTCCCTGCCCATGGCAGGGGTTGGAGCTGGAGGAGCTTTAAGCTCCCTTCAACCCAAACCATTCCATGATTCCATGATCCCTGGGCAAACCAGACTGGGATTTGCAGCCTTGTCCCAGTGCTTGGGCCGGGTGTGTGGGAGCTGCTGGGGTGGAGGGCAGGGAGATCTGACTGGTGTTGGGGGTCCTACCGCCAGCTCCGTGCCCAGCTGTAAACCATCTGGATGTGCTGTTGTGGTTGTTTGGCTTGTCTGGTTTAAAGCATAGAGGGTTACTAATTCACTTGATTCTATATTAAGGGAGCAATTTCCTTCTACAGAGGCAAACCCTGCAGCCTAACAGGCTCTTTGGGCAGAACTCCTTAAGTACAAACTCCAGCAGCATCCCACATTCAGCCTTTCGGGTAGGCTGCAGTAGACCAGGACACTGACCCTCATTGGAATCCCAGCCTGGTTTGGGTTGGAAGGGACCTAAAAGCTCCTCCAGTCCCAACCCCTGCCATGGCCAGGGACACCTTCCACTATAGAGCAGGCTGCTCAGTGGCACTGTCATCTCTTAAGCTGCCAGGAAACAGCACTGGTGCAGGATTTCTGCTTCCCAGCATCAAGCGTGGTCTGTGGTAGCAATGGAGGCGATTTACAGAGCAGAGAAACTCCATCCCTGCTTGTACCTCTCAGCTTTAATGGGGCAGGGGGCTGAAGCTGCTCACTACATCCCTCACTTAGGAGCATGAAGCTCTCAGGAGCTCACTTTGAACCTGATCCCTGGTCTAAAGGACTTTAACCCAGTCCTTTCTCATGCAGTTGCATCCACAGGAGGCAGATGGATCCAATCTAAAAGGCAAATTAGACTAATTAGTTCCAGAAGGAGATACTGATGGGGAGGGACTCATCATCAGCAACTGCAGGGATAGGATAAGGGGTGATGGGTTCAAATGAAACAGGGGAAGGTCAGGTTGGAGATAAGGCAGAAGCTCTTCCCTGTGAGGGTGCTGAGGCGCTGGCACAGGGTGCCCAGAGAAGCTGTGGCTGCCCCATCCCTGGCAGTGCTCAAGGCCAGGTTGGACACAGGGGCTTGGAGCAAGCTGCTCCAGTGGAAGGGGTCCCTGCTTGTGGCAGGGGTTGGGGCTGGATGAGCTTTATGGTCCCTTCCAAACCGTTCCATCCCATCACCTTCTTCTTACCCAGTGAGCAGGGATGGACAGTGGAGGTGAACCGGTGTACGTCAGCTGGAGGGACCAGTCTGGGATCACCTCCCAGAGCCATGGGAAGAGCCACAGGAGCCAGCCAGCATCATGACTCTGGTCGCAGGTGAGTTGCCAATAGCAGTCAAACACCATGGCCTCACCTGCAGGCAAATCCCTTGTGTTGGATGAGGGGTTCTCCATGCAGAGCCAGTCAGACCTCACCTGGTTCTCTGGGTACCCACATGCAAAGGCCTTGGGGTGGATTCTGCTCCTCTGCTCAGCTCAGGGTTGA